ACAAAGTAATCAGACATAATTTCCGCGAATGGAGCAAATCGAGCAGCGTGCCGTCATTAAGTACCTCCATAAGAAGGGGCTATCATCAAAAGCCATCCATGATGACATGGTCAGTACATTAGGCGATTGTGCTCTGTCATATTCATCCGTCAAAAAATGGATAGCAGAATTTAAGCGTGGTAGAGAGAGTGTGAAAGATGAACCCCGCTCTGGAAGGCCTTCGACGTCAACTACTGACGAAAATATTAAAAAAGTACTTGATTTAATAATGGGAGACCACAGATTAAAAATTAGAGAAATAGCCGAGATTATACGCATCTCTTATGAACAAACTCAAAACATCATTGTCAACGAGTTGGGTTTCCACAAGGTGTCTGCGAGGTGGGTTCCGCGACTGCTTTCAGTTGAACAAAAAAGGACGCGATTGACTATTTCACGCGACTGTTTGGAGTTATTTGAAGCCGATGCAGATGATTTTTTGAATCGTTTTGTTACTATGGACGAAACATGGGTTCATTACTGTACACCGGAAACAAAACAACAATCAAAACAGTGGAGAAGACCTGGTTCACCACCCCCTAAAAAGGCTAAGTCGATTTTGTCGGCAAATAAGGTGATGGCTTCAGTATTCTGGGACTCGAAAGATGTGATTATGATTGATTATCTTGAAAGGGGTCAGAATATAAACTCTGATTACTACTGCACCTCACTACGTCGTTTACGAGAGGAAATAAAAGAAAAACGTCGAGGAATGCTCAGAAGAAAAGTCCTGTTTCATCAAGATAACGCCCGTGTTCACACGTCAGTACAGTCAATGGCTGAAATTCACAACTGTGGCTTTGAACTGTTACCGCATCCGCCGTATTCACCTGATCAGGCACCATCAGACTTCTTTCTGTTCCCTAACCTAAAAAAGCACTTGGGAGGTCAAAGATTTTCGACAAACGACGAGGTCAAAGCAGCTGTAGACGCATATTTTGACTCTAAGGAAGAATCATTTTTTTCAACGGTCTAAATGCTTGGAAGGGGAGGTGGCAAAAGTGTATTGAACTTGATGGTGATTATGTAGAAAAATAAAAATATAACTGATTTAGTATTTGTTTATTTTCTTGGTTAGGCCGAGTACTTTTCAATCCATCCTCGTATTTATATCATGACAAAAACGAGATCTTTCCAATAAAATTCTTCGAAGGCCTTTGTTTTCGAAATTTAATCAAATGGAAATGAGACAACGTAATATGCGGGGGCGTTGTATATATTAGGTATGGGCATATTGATTACCGGTTTTCTTACGGTTTCATAAACGAATAGGAAAACACAATTTGAGATATGAAAAAAGTATGGAATAATTCCGTGGAATTTTCCATATTCTATTCTTTTTAATTTGATACTCTTTCATTTTATGTAAAGGAAAGTTTTGAAGGTTACGGGAATATTTCCATTTCACTATAGTAAATAGGACAACTTATATGAAATAGTTATAATAAACATTTGTTTGAAATTTAAATGCTGCTATAATATTGCATAATATGTTATATTATTATTTTAATCCTAATTATGATTTTGTCTTAAAAATTACTTCTTTGAAAACTGGAACACATCTAATGCTGCAACATTTCGGCGAGTCTGCGCAGAAATTGCACGACTTAATTCCTCTCTCTTCGTTCCATCATCGGATTACCAGACGCTCGGCTGGTCTGTATTATGATTGTATCAAGAATCGGTCGGCTCGACCGGGGAAAACCACTATCTCACAAAATACTAGCGTAAAATAGCAGCTCAATTCTGCTGTATTTTGTATGGTGTGCCTAGATAACTGAAGACCCTTTTTACTGGTTACCAAGCCATTCCATCTAAGTCCTCAGAGAGTCCTAACAACACATCTGAATTTTGATTTTTAATGGAGAATAAATGTAAATATTTATGGGTATCTAGTAACCATCAGGAGGACTGAGTGCTCGTTAGTCACCCTTACTTGTTAAGAAAAATTACCACATACCATCTGTGGGATAGTAGTTACTCATAAATGCTGGCTTATAATACTAAAGCAGTTTACATAGCAGTTTGCAGGTATATTATATACCCTGCAAACTGCTAGTTACATAACACATACACGGTACGCAGAGATATCATGACTTCACACACAGTTTCATATAATACGAATGTACTATAATAGCTGACGCCACGCACTCTTCATAGCGCAAGCATTTGTGTACTCAAGCGTTAGCAATCGACGACGCTTAAATGAATACTGATTCATAGAAAGAAACAGGCGCATTTCGAAAATCCTACTATATAATAAGAGTTGCGCCTAACATTAACCCACAAATTTCTTATATGAGTAAATTATACCCGTAATATCAAACTGTGCTCAAAGTTATTGACAGGTATGTATACCTGTACAGCTGTGATAGTACAGGGCATAAGAGCTTGCCTTGAATTAGGTAGAACAATACCTTTCTTCGTAGTAGCAGCAATACAATTTTTAATTGTAACTATAAGAGCTGATTTAACATTAACTCAGTGGTAAAGAGAATTCATCGCACTATTTCGTCCGATAGCCATCGTAAAAGACAGCTAAAGGAAGTGAGGGCCGGAAATTCTTGTGGCTTGTTATACATGACGGAACAACCATATCGTATACATATATTTATTAATTCATTCATTCTAGTCCATGAAAACTCCAACGCTGGACAAAGGCCTTGCCTTTTTTATAGAATAAAGGTGACAAACGATCACACAGTCCACCTGATGGTGAGTAGATGCTGTGGCCCATAGACATTTATTCTCAATTAAGAATCAATTTAAAAACGCGTTGTCCTCCCTGAGGACTGAGAAGGAATGCCCCGTTTGCAGTAAAACGGCTATCTACACTCATCATACGAAACACAGAAGCATTAAGCTTCTATTTTACGCTTATATTTCTAGTCTTACCTCGGTCGAGTCGACCCATTTTTCCTACAACCATGATATACCTAGCTGCAGCGTGGCTCTAACACGTAGAATAGACAGACATGCCTTATAGATTCTCTATAGTTGCAACGTTTGACAGGTGACTTGGCAACTGCTGTTTTCTTATTATTATTGATTAGTTGTAATAGAAAAGATGTTGCTGTCCATCTCCTATCTCAGTTATCCAAAGTAGTGGATTCTTTTATGCCGCCACGATTATGTCTCGTATATATGCCAGATGTAACATACCCAGACCGTTGATAAGGAGCAGCGTCAAATGTGTGTTGTATTGTGATAGCTAATTTATATGCAAAGTGAGGCAAATATGTCGAGTGGGCCTGATGGAATCCTGCCAATTGTAATGAGGACGTGCGCTCCAGAGTTGCCACCGGTTCTAACGCGTCTTTTCCGTTACTCCTACTGCCTAGGCACTGTCCCGAATTCATGGAAGACAGCTTTCATGCACCCGATAACTGAAAAAAGTAACCGCTCTAATCCGCCCAACTGCAGGCCTATCGCCATCATCTCTCATATCTCTCAGCTGATTAGTGACCGCCAGTATGGTTTCCGTCGGAATGGCTATATAGATGGGCGCAGGCGATTGCGCCCAAGGGGAGGCATTGGCCATTAATTTGGACATAGAGAAGGCTTTCGATCGGGTCTGGCACAAAACGCTTCTTACAAAGCTTCCTTCTTATGAGCTTTCCGAGAAATTATGCAATTGGATTACCAGTTTTCTGGTTAATCGGAATATCAAGGCCAACGCATATGCATTTTGATTCTTAATTGAGGATATGTATTATGTTTAGTGCATCTGGCAGTGAGCGTTCGTTTTCCACCCTTACTTGTTAAAAATACTATCCACGATATTAGTTTTATAAATTATGTAGACGGGGCATGCTCCGATTACAAGCCCATTAACGCTGGTGTTTCACAAGGATGCGTGCTATCACCAACGATGTTTCTTTTGCATATCAATGATATGTTGCAACCCGGTAACATTCATTGCTATGCGGATGACAGCACTGGTGACGCTCTATAGACCGGTTGTGCCAATATTTCACGGGAAAACGTCACCAAGTACCGGAAAAAACCTGTGTGTGAAGTCGAGTCTTTGCTGAACAAAGTCTTGGATTGGGGGTGACCAGTCCAGTTTAATCCTCAGAAGACACAAGTTTGCACGCTTAGCGCTAAAAAAACACTTTTGTCGTATCTTGTCAGTTTCAAGGCACTCCTTTTGTTGCCTCAGACAGTATCAGAATCATTGGCGTCGACATATTGAGTGACGTGCAGTTTCGTAGTCACTTGGAAGTGAAGGCGAAATTGGCCTTTAAAAAGCTTAGCGTACTCAGCAGAGCGGGACAGTATTTCATGCCAGCACACCGCCTGCAACTTTACAAGGCGCAAATTCGGCCTCACGTGGAATACTGTTCCCATCTCTGAGCTGGGGCTCCCCAGTGCCAGCTCCTTCCACTTGACCGCATCCAGCGCAGAGCGGCTCGAATCGTCAACAACCGAGTTCTTTCTGATCGGCTCGATTAACTCGCGCTGAGAAGAGAATTTGCATCCCTTTGCATTTTCTTTCGCATCTACCACAGGGAGTGCGGTGAGCAATTGTTCGGTTTAATCCCAACCGCCAAATTTCACGAACGCACATCGCGGCAAAATTCCCGATACCATCCACATGATCTGGATGCTTGGCGGTTTACCACTGTACGTTTCACTAGAAGTTTTTTCCGCGTACCACCTTTCTGTGGAATAGCTTACCATCGGCGATTTTTTCGAACCGACACGACTTAGGGACCTTCAAGAAAAGAGTTCCTACTTCCTAAAGGGCCGGCAAAGCACCTGCAATTCCCCTGGTGTTGCAGTTGTTCATGGGGGGAGGTAGTTACTTACCATCAGGTGAGCCATATGTTCGTTTGCCCTCTCTCCTATTAAAAAACCAAGGATTAATGAAGAAAGAAAAAAGAAGAAATATATGATAGTGACAGTGCGGTACATGAGAAATATGAATATTTAACAAACTTATTCTTACATTGTTACAGAACTGGACTTGGACTACTTGGAGAGAGGAGGCGGTACCCTGACAGTTACGGGTGCACCCAGCGTGGAGCCCAGTCCCGACAGCCTTGATCTTGTTAAGGTTGTGTTACTCGGGGCGCCGGCTGTCGGCAAAACCAGCATTATTCAGGTAACATAATTTAATATTTATTTACTTAATCTTTATTGTATTACACCTTAATCTAATGACTACAATGGCGGACTTAATGCCTTATGGCATTCTCTGCCAGTCAACTCTGAGAGAATATGTATTTCAAAATATCAAAACTTTAAACGCGCAGTCAATTTGACGAATATTCTTAGCTATATAAAGAAATTTGCCAACTTTTTCACCAAATGACGACCTCACCTGCACGCATTGTAATCCGATGATAGACGGTCGGGAATCTAGTAGGTAATTATTGTCGATTTTCTTAAAACCATTTACTGTTTAGCATAGATAACATGAAAACAAGATTACCAGTGTGATAATAATCTACTCTGCTACGAACTTGCCTGCCTCACCATGATAGCGTGGGAAAATCTTTCGAGTAATATCAGCTAGTACTTATTTGTAAAGGCCTCGGCCACCAATGGACTTAAATAGCCGTACTTAATAAGAGCTGTGGTAGCTAAAGGGCTGAGCATTTACAGTACGCGAGCAAACCGGATTCAATCCCCTCACCATTGAAATTGTTAAAAACAATTTCAAGTGCTGATTTAGCCAGGTGCTCGATGGTGAAGGAGAACATCGCGAATAAAACCCGCATGTTTGAGAAAAAAAAAGATCGAATACACATGAAATTCACAAACAAGCATTGTGGCAACGCGAAGGACAATTAATATCCCTGCTGGGACAACCATTTCAGAAATGAGGGGATTATATGCGATGAGACACATATAGATTGTAACTTTAGCTACTTAATCTACTGCACTGATACAGATAAACATTTTCAAGGATTCTCAAACTGGCATAAATATTTCAAAAGTAAATTTAATGAAATCTTTCGTTTTCTTATTGGTCATCATCACATCGCAATACTGATTTCAACAAAGAATTTGTTGAGATTGCTTTAGACTTAGTAATTATTAAGCCATACATCATTCTACTTACTTTTGACGATCGCTTCAACTGCGGTCTTAAATTAATAGGACGCACCGCGTGCAGGTGACTTTGTTGTTATGAGGAGTTCACCCCTTGTTTACGTTAATAAATGTTTTAATAATTAAATACAGTTGTCGACAACGTGTGAGAGGTATTGTAATATATTCCCAGGAATAATAACATTTCTATGCAAACTTATATACGTTTACTGTATCATATTACGTCCATTATTGATTGTATACATTTACTAAATCCTAGCTATTTGTGCAAATCAAAATATGAATCTAATATTTGGTTTGCGCAAATGTGACTATGTTTCCGAATTTTATTTAAAGTAGTTACTTATTCGCCTTCGCTGGAATTTAAAAACAGTATATCTGCAATGAACTTCCTCCTTAAATTTTAACAGTGGTAGAGCCACGCGGCAGCTTTTTCTGTCGCACGGATGGGCCGGCTCGAACCGGGGTAGTACCACGACCTCACAGAAAACCAGCGTGAAGTAGAGGTTTACCTCTGCGTTTCGCTTGGTGAGTGCAGGTGGCCGGAGGCCCTTTTTACTGGAAATGAGGCATTCCATCTTAGTCCTCACGGGTGACAACGCATCTACATTTTGATTTGTAACAGAGGATAAATGTAGATGTCTATGGGCCGCAGCAACCACTTACCATCAGGTGGACTGTGTGCTCGTTTGTCACCCTTATCCTATAAAAAAAAAAAAAAAAAAAATTCGTCGTTCGAAAACATTCAAGAAGCGGCACTGAAAATTTCGGGAATCAAGGAAGTGACACAACATTACTATTTAAAAATGTATTTATTGCTTTTCGAAGTATTCTCCGCGAAATTTTACACATTTTTCGATACGATGGAACCAATCATTGAAGCAACCATTCCATTCGGAAGTTGGGGTCTCCAAAATGGCCGTTTTGTAGGCGTCCACAGCTTCTTCAGGTGATGAAAATCTCTGTCCACGCAATTTATTCTTTATTTTAGGGAAAGTATAGAAATCATTAGGGCTTAGGTCGGGGCTGTACGGCGGATGGTCTAATAATTCTATGTTTTCTTGCTCTAAAAACTCGTTTCTTCTGTGTGCGGTATGAGAACTCGCATTGTCGTGATGGAGGATGATGCGGCGGTTGCAGTTCTCTTTACGGAGTTCAGAAACGACCTGTGGTAAACAAATGCTAGCATACCATTCTGCATTAACCATTCTTTTTCCCTCAAGAGGAATAGTCGTAACATGGGGTTTTGGAGACAAACGTGGCCACCATTTTTTTTGCAACACTCCGTGAACGAACAATTTTTGTTGGCTTTAACTAATTTTCGAACACCCAAACTTGTGACTTGTTTTTTGTTTCGGGTTCGTACGCATATATCCAGGATTCGTCACCTGATACGATGTTGTATACAGCATTTGAGGATCTTGCGTGCAATCTTTCGAGAGTTCTGACGCACTAAGTAACGCAAGCCGCTTTTTGCTCTTCACAGAGCGAATGCGGTATCCATCGGGAAAACAAATTTTTTACACCTAATTGTTCATGCAAGATTATATGTATTTGACTCATGCCAGTGTCTAAAGTTGCCTGAATTTCGCGGTATGTCACATGTCGATCTTCCTCAATCAGCTTACGCACAGCATCAACGTTTTCTTGGGTGACTGCAGTTTTTGGACGACCTTGACGGGGATCATCAGTGAGCTTGACACGTCCACGTTGAAATTCAGCAAACCAGCGATAAATGGTGGTTTTGGATGGGGCTTCATCACCAAATGCAGAAATCATCCGGTCAACACACTTTTTTTGTGTTAAACTACTTCGAAAGTCATTATAAATCATCGCTCTTGAATTTTCTCGAGTCAATTCCATTTTCTCAACGACTAAACAAGTTTGACAAAACCTTGTGACAAGACCGAGAATCTTTTTTTAAATAAATAAATGGTAAAACCAAGTAAATTTAAAACCAAGGACTTCAATTAAAAAGTTTTTAATATGACAGGAAGAGTGGAAATATTCCATTCCCGATACTTTTAGTGCAGCCTGTGTAAGTTTAAGACTGACGACACTACCTATCACTTTCCATCATTAGCCATATTTAGAATTTTGTTTCCATTACGTATTTATTTATGTATTTTATGTATTATTTTGTTAAAATAATATAATATAATATAACGTATTAGCATGTTGGTTTATTATAATATACACCACCTCTCACTGTCCAATAGTTAATATTTTTCCTTAATTTTAAGGTTGTCTGGAAGAGATTTTGTAAGTAAAAAGTAAAATTACAGCCTACACACGTCCACTTCTGGGTACAGGCCTAATCTCACAACTAAGAGGGTTTATCAGCGAGGAAGTTTCAACTGTGTTGAACCAAAGTGCGCTGGGGGACTTTACATGTTTTCGAAATTTTCTTCTTTTATTCCCTTAAACGTGCACGATGTTTTCCTTCCCCGATGAGCACGTGGTAAATAACAATTTCATTGCTGCCGACGGGAATTGTGCAAGCGAGCAACCCAGGTTAGGTTACTCGCGTACTGTTAAATTTACAAAGGGCTAAGGCTACCACGGCTCCGTTTTCTTGATTGATGATTTTGGATTAGAGAATTCTTTTATCTCTTGTAATTATAGTAATTCACGCACTTAAAAAATAAACAGTCCTTCAAGCATGGCGACTATGGCAAATTTAATAAATTACTTGCGAGATAATCATGATATCATCATCATCATTATGGAATATAGACCTTCACAAGTCCATTGCTGAACATAGGCCTCCCTCAAGGAATGCCACAAATCACGGTCCTAGCCACCTGCAGCACGATTAGCCACTTGCATCCATTGACTTCGTGCATGTCTTACCAGGTCGTCACTCCTGATGATAATGATGAATAAATTGTAGTGTTAGTTTGAAGTTTCAAATTAAACTTCATCATTTTGTGCTCGATTACGATCGCATCTGATGGTAAATAGTGAAGCGTCTTGGGTGATGATCGCACTAGACGAGTTTTCACTTATTTCACTTTTTACTCTATGTCACTAGACTTATTTCACTTTTAAACATCCCACATTGTCTTAGAACGAAAATACTGAGGCCAGAAAATTATTCCAATATCTCTTGTATGTGAACCTTTGAATTTACTTATTATCTTATATTAACCAAATACCTTTTTCACTTGCTAGCAATTCGTCTGGAGCGACTTCTCTGAAGAGTACGTGCCAACAGATCGCAAGCACACGTTCTATCCCTCGGTGATCATAAACGAACATTTATATGAAGTGAAAATAACCGACGTGCCCGTTATACCGTATTTCCCAATAAATTCCTACTACGAATGGGCGCATTACCGATTTTATGGCCTTCGTAATGCCACAGCCTATATTCTGGTTTTCGATTTATCAAACGTGGAAACTTTCCAGTATATTAGAACACTACGAGATCAGATGGTGGAAAGTAGGGACATGAGAAACGTTCCCGTTTTAGTTGTAGGAAACAAACAGGACTTGTTGTGTAGCAATACGCCTTCTGCTGTAACTGGGCTTCAGCAGCTGGCGATGGCAGAAAGTGCATGTGGAGATTCGAGGGAAAAACGACGCAATATTGTTAACCTCGTCCGGAAGCACTGGAAATGTGGATACGTCGAATGTTCGGCCAAATATAACTGGCGTGTTATAGCCGTGTTCAAAGAACTGATGGAGATGATCGATGCTCTTGAGTGGAGCGGTGGTGGAGGTCGCAGTGCTGAACCTCCACCCGACTGTTCTGCAGGAGGAGGTACAGGAACACATGAAAATCGCTGTGTGGTTGCTTAGCATTTCTCGGTTGACGATCTTTGTTTTGGACAAGAGAACGATACGTGGTGGAAGAGCCTAAAGGTTAAAAACTTCTGGTCCATATTTTCAAAAGAGAGATCTCTACGGTTTTAGTATGTAAGAATTAGAATAAGTCAGTGTTAAATTTAATGTTAATAGTAATTTTCATAATAGAATATCTTCCGTTATTTTATTTCTATTTTAAAGAAGGATTGCAACTTTTATTAAGCAATTTAGTTTTGCTATTTAAGAAGATAATTTTTAATTAGTAATTAAAATAAATTACAAAATTAAAGCACGGAAATTGTACAATAATATGTTTAAAAGGTTATTAACAAATTAGATTTTTAATTGTATAATTTATTTTCCAATCAACAATAGCAACACTGTGTAGTGATACTTTACCATAAGTCTTTGTTTCATATTTAAAATATTCTTTATAAATTGTTTACACGTGGCTATTTTATAATTTTAATTTTTTGACTTAATAAATTCACCGCAGAATGTACTTACATACGTTTTCAACAAGCAAAGTAATAATCTATTTTTTGTAATAATTTGAAATTATTAGACTTAATCTAATGTGTATGATAGAAAATTATTTTAAATTTTGTATTGCTTTGTAAATTGTCAGTGTTCTGGTTTTCTTTTTTAATTCTCAATTATTTTAAGTTATAGCTTTTCTGTACGAAAAATCTCGTGTTCAGCCACATTTCTACTTTCTGGTAGTAAATTTAAAAGCTTTAATCGTTTGTATACATACTTAATCCCAGTGTTCTGTTTCTTTGTATAATATCCAGCCAGTTGACTATTACAAACATATTTTCTAGTAAAATGAGTAAGTTACTGCTGCGGGCTAATAAGTGCTGCTTACTTGTACATTTATAAAAAAAAAAACTAGAATAATCTATACAGATGGAGCTAATTCAGCGTGTTACTACAAAAAAGGAAACAATAATTATATAAATTGTAGAAAGAAACAGAGCGTTGGCACAGGGTAATTTTACACTTCTATTCTACAAATGTTAAATGATTATTTAAAACTCACTACGTCTGACCTAAAACTACGAGGGGATAATGTTTTTGTGGTCCCTTTTTACATGGGTATGGATATCTACTTTAATCCTTGAATATAAAATAAGTCAGTAGTGCAAGATTGTTATTATTTTGTTTAAGCTAGGATAATTTTAATTTATCTAGAAATAATAACTACAAACAAGACAGTAATTTTTTTAATCCACTCTTTATATGGATACGAAAAAAATGCTTGGTAATTGTTAAATAAATTGAAATAAAGAATAAAGGAAAAACTTAGTTCTCGTAAAGGCTTGGGTTACGCAAATTGATTAAAATAATCACTTTTTAATGATTCTGTGCTCGTGCATTTTGTTGTTTTATCGTTCAGGTACTCAAAATTCAATGCAACAATTTCACAAATAATTCTATTCATTATTTTAATATCTATCATTAGAACTTTAATGCAAGTTAACTCCGTGTTGTGCTTTTGACCTCTGTGCTTCCTAAAACTTGTAGAAAGTAGAAATGTTATTCTTCTTATTATTTGTAAAAGTTTATAGTAATCGAAAAAGTGATTGTAATAATAAAGTTATAGGCATTGAAATTAGATACTAGTAAAAAGAGAGTTAATAAAAGGATACTGTTGTTTAAGTATTTGTAATATTAAATTACGTTTCGAATATGCACCTCTTTTTCCATTACAAAAAAAATATCAATTATATATCGTTAGTCTCATTTTATTAATATTGTGATAAGCTCAATTTTAAAGACGAACTAAATTGTAATAAGGTCTATTTGAAAAAATATATAAATACTAGCTGACCAGGCAGACGTTGTTCTGCTCTGTCTGACGACCCTTCCTATAAAAAAATCTTTAAATTTGCAATAAAAAAATATTGAAGGTCACTTATCGGAATAAAAACTATTCTATCTCTCAAGTTGGACCAAACTTTACACAGTGTGCCAAATTTCATTGAAATCAGTTCAGTAGTTTAGGAGTTCATCGCGGACAAACAATGTGACACGTAATTTTTTTTATATATATATATATATATATATATATATATATATATATATATATATATATATATTGTTACGGCCCACAGCTGCCCCTGCAAAGGTCAAATATGCCGGGGCCCATGAGCGGAAGATTCAACGGGCAGCCGCGGTTTCGAGCCCAAATGGCCATATGGAAAATGTCCTATCATACTAAACTGTAGGGAAAAGGCTAGAAAAATATAGTACGTACCTACCTGTATCCGAATCTAAGACCACCCCAAGGCTCGGTCAGGCCGTAGGTGGATGTAAGGTGCATGGAATATAGTGTTTAGTGATGTGTATGTGTATGAGACCTGGCCCAGCTGAGGTGACCGGCAGCGGCCGATTTCCATGCTGCCCCACAATGTTGCATCGCTCCAGCATGCTTCCCCGCTGGACCATTTCTATCTTTATGTCACTTTTTCAGTCTATTAACTTCATTGTACATTTAACTAACTTAAACTCGCCTAATTCCACATTCATCGTAGAATCGAACACGTGATACCCTACACAGTAATGGACAGTAGTTCAAAGTTCAACATTCAATGTCCCGGATTCATTTATCACCAAATTACAAATAGGGAACTAACGCGATCTCTTCATGAGTCACACGGTTCGACGTTAAACACAACTAAGTTCCTTCGTTCGATACTAAATACTACGCCCCGATAAGAATTCAAAATCCGCCTCGTTGACACGTAAAACGAACAAAACAGTCAATACACAAAAAAGGGCAGTTAACGCGACGGCACAATTACTTTCAAAGAGGTTACTTTAATCAATCAAACATAATACAAGCCTCTTGTCAAGAACTTAAACCCTAGACAACCTAAAACGATTCGATTTCATGAAACACAATTACGTAGCGAAATCACGCGCACAAATTCTAAAAATCGAGACCGTAACCCCAAAATCGTACGCTAATTAACTGTACGGCTGCCAGCGAGCTACTGTTTTCAGCCAGCGCGTTAAGCGACTGCCCACAGCATGCGGCCGCTTTCCCCCGCCGTCGGCATTACCTCACCTCGACACCATTGGGTGATTCGACAAAGTCGAAGGTGATTGGGTGCCGTCTCAAAATGCCCATTTTTGGGCATAAACATATATATATATAAATCTCAAAGCTCGCCAGGCAGACGTTGTTCTGCCCTTTCTGACGCTCCTTTCTATAAAAATCCTTAAATTCGCAATAAAAAATTTTGAGGGCCATATATCGGGATAAAAACTATCCTATCTCTCAAGTTGGACCAAAATGCACACAGTGTGCAAAATTTCATTGAAATCAGTTCAGTAGTTTAGGAGTCCATCGCGGACAAACAACGTGACGCGTAATTTTTATCTATAAAGATTACATTTTAGTGATATTATGATTTCTTATAACGCGAATATTACGTATTGTAAGTAATAAGTTATTTAACGTATTTGATCGCGTTTAATTACACTTATTTAACTTATTTTAATTCCTGACGTTGCAGATGCTTTGCAGTTGCAGCACCCATACTTGTTCCACTAACAGGTTTTGACGTCCTGATGTCATCATTTTTAAAATATAATTAAATGCCATAAAATCCTTAGAATTAATTTGATTCAATTTAGGTGACGTATTATACGCAGATCTAAAAAAAAAAATAATTTTATCCTTGGCATTTTTTGATCATATTATGAACACAAAATATAGAAAATACATAAATATATGTAACCAATGAAAACTGACACATCAAATAATTATTTAAAACCCCAACAAGCCGCTTTTTTTTCTTACGAAAAATTAATTTATACTTTCTTTTCGTGTTGCTTGTTCGCATTTTTATGCGTTGTTTCCGTACTGTAAGAGTAATTATAATTATTTTTGAAGAGTGCAAACACTCAGACTGTAGAATGCAAATAAAACTGTTTACCGTAACGCCTTGCTAATAGTTTTGAATTTATTGTAAAACAAATATTAATACAATCCTGTTAAGGGTCGTCTTACACGAGCACGCGCTCCAATTACGCTAGCATGTAACAATATAAGGGCTTACTTAAAGGGCTTACACCGACTTCGAAAAAGGAGGAGATTCTCAATTTGTCGGAATCTTTTTTTATGCAAATTCACCGATTACTTGAAAACGCCCGAACCGATTTAGAAAATTCTTTTTTTGTTTTAAAGAGTATATATCCTAAGCGGTTCCATTTAAATTTTATCGAAATCAGTCGAGTGGTTTTAAAAAAAATCTACAATAAATTATTTACATTGAAGTCGGTTGTACAAAATTTTAATTTTACCACATGTTATCGGTCCGTTAAAGTGCACTGCTGGACATGGGCCTCTCCCGTTGTAGGAAGGACGTGTCTTAATTGCTACTCTTGCAGACAGGTCAAGTATCTGACGTCTCGAATCTTTGAAGGTGCTGTTTGTCGCCGGTCCGATATTTTACGTCTGGCGTAAACGAATTGATAACACCGCCATCTATCGGAAGCTATTAGAATTTTCTGGGTTATTGACGACTCTTACCGTCTTACGGCACCTACGAGACGAAATGGGACAATGGACACTTATACCGCCGGCTGGTCTCATATAAATTGTTAGAGTATTAATTGCTAACTTCGATGTACCTAAAGGTGCTTTTTAACGTCGTGTGGTGACGATCATTGACGTACGAGAGAAATATATAGAAAGTCTTAATTTTTAACTGTAATTTTACAATGTTGAATTTCTTTAGATTGAACTTTTCACCACTTTTAATAATGTAATGTGTTTAAGCAGTGGCCAAAGTAGCTTTTATATGTATTTCCGGCTGTGTTCTTATCGGGTAAATGTTAGATTGCTTTTACTGTAAATAAAATTCTTATTTTGCAAAAATGTTCGTTATAGATTTGAAAAAGGTGTAATCTTAGTTTCAGAGAGTCTACATAATATTGACGTAATCACCTTTTTACAAATGTTACACGGTGCAATAAAATGT